ATAGTTCTGGAGGTCTGAGGACACAGCACAGCATTAAATTCCCATGAGGGGGCTCATGGTGGATAGCATCACATGGAGGGGTCATGTGGAAGGGACACACATTGAAAGAGGAAGCAAGAAAGAAGCAAGGAAGCCAAACATATCATAACCACTCATTCTTGCAGTAACCTAGCCAGTCCCAGGACAGTGTGAACTCACTTCCGTGAGGAAAGCATTAATTCCTCTTAATAGACCCAAATACCTCTCAAAGGTACCACCTGCCAATACTTCCACACTGGGGACCAAGACAGGCTGGCTTTAAGAAAACAATGTTGAGAGCTTCACTCTGCACAGCCCTATAGACGATGAGCCTTTGGACTGATGTTCCTTGTTTGTTTGTTGCTTTTGGTACAAGGGATTGATCCCAGAGACACTCAACCACTGAGCCACATCCCCAGCCTTTTATTTTTATTTGATTTAGAGACAGTCTCACTGAGTTGCTTAGGACCTCAGTAAGTTGCTTAGGCTGGGTTTGAGCTCACGATCTTCTCACCTCAGCCTTCTGAGCAGTTGGAATTACAGATGTGCGCCACCGCCTGGCATGTTCCTTGATTTCAACACATCAAGTCATTCTCCCTGCAGAAAACCATTTCAGATATACTGAATTTAACAGATTAAAAGTAAAACAACTATCTTCTCTTCCCACCTAGTTCTCTATCTTGATTGGTTAGGCCACAACTTGAAGATCACCTTTGATTTTTCCCCTTTCCTTATATGCACACCAATCATGTTGGAGGCACTTCTGACATTTCTATCAAATCATGTTCTACTACCATTACCGGGCCACTGCCTACACACCTCCCTTAATCCTTCCTGTCTCCCCTAATGCAAGATATTCAGAGGGACCAGAATTAGCTTTCGAAGAATGAATGTCATTCCTCTGCTCAAAAATTCCTCAAGATCTTCTTTCCCTACAGAACCAAGTCTAAACTTCCTTGTATAACATACAAGACCTCAAACTGGTCCAACTACCATTCTCTGCCTCTTTCATCTATTCAGCCCAAGTCTCTAGTCATTAGCAGAACACCTTCAACCTCTAATGTCCTTTTTTATTGAATGTCCACCATTTGCCACAGGTATTGTTCTACATGTTAAGATTAAAACTATGATAGACAAGGTTCCTGTTCTCATGGAGCCTCCATTTCTCACTATACTCTCAGATGCAGTTCAAATCTACTTTCACTGAAATTCTCTGCATTCCATAATGAACATTAATTAACTCCCTTGACTTTTATACTTCTAGAGTATTTGGCACAGTTTGTCTTGTGTGACATCTGTATACCCAAACAACATTTTTATCTTCTGTCCCAGACTATAAACTTCTTGAAGATAGAAACTAGGTAGTCATTCATTTATGATGGCTCCCATGGTGCCTTTAAGACCCAATGTTTCTTAAATTACAGCAAATCTCAGTCTGCTTCCATTTATGTTAAAAAATAAACACAAAAACGTGAAGTTTTGCCTATTTTAAAGAAATGTAAGTACTTTTTGGAGGGAGTATAAATTAAAAATTTACAGTGGGAAAGACTTAAAAACTACTCACATTATTAAAGCCTGAATCTAAGATTTAAAGTCCACATGGCTACCTTATATTAATGATTCTATACCACTCCTTAAGAACAATTATTACCTAGAAGCCACGCATTGTGGCACATGAATTTAATCCTAGCTACCTGGGAGGCTGAGGCAGGAGGATTGCAAGTCCAAGGGCAACTCAGTGAGACCCTGTATCCAAAATGATATAAAAAGGCTGGGTATGTAGCTCAATGGTAGAGTCCTTGCTTAGCATGCATGAGGCTCTGGTTTAATCCCCAGTATTAAAAAAGAAAAGAAAAGGTACTATGATCTACAAGCTCAGAACTTCTTGAGTGGATTTCTAATTCACATAGTCATCAGCCAGCAAATGATTTCCCATCCTGCACCAGAATTCTAATTTCTATAAACATCAGAACACTGCCCATTAGTCTCTAAGGAGGACCATGCAGACCAACAATGAACAGTCAAGCCATTTACCAATGTCAAAGGCAAGAAGAGCATTAGAAAAATAACCTGTCAGCTTCTACCTGACCTCCTCCAGTGGAAAAAGTTTGATTAGGAGACAGATCAACAACTGTTTACCATTTTAAAAATTAGAATTAGAAATGATGAATTTGTAGCTCAGTGGTAGAGTACTTACCTAGCACATCTGAGGCACTGGGTTTGATCCTCAGCACCACATAAAAATAAATTAAAGAAAGAGGTGTGGGGGGCTGAAGTCGTGGCTCAGTGGTAGAGCGCTCGCCTGGCATGTGCGGGGCCCTGGGTTCAATCCTCAGCACCACATATAAATAAAGGTATTGTATGCAACTACAACTAAAAAAATAAAAATAAAGAAAGAGGTATGAGTCATATATGTAAGAAATAAATAAAAAAAAGAGGTGGGAGATTTAAAAAAAAAGAAATGATGAATTTAAAATCTGATAACATAAGGAGTTAAAGACTAAAGAGAATTATACAATACACAATCCTGATTTGGACAAATCAGATATATAAAGAACATGTTTAGAAAAAATAAGGTCTTTTTTTTTTTTTTTGGTAGTGCTGGGGATTGAACCCAGGGTTTTGTGCATGCAAGGCAAGTACTCTACCAACTGAGCTATAGCCACAGCCCAAGAACTTTCTTTTGGTGCTGGGAATTGAACTCAAGAGTTTCATATTTACTAGGTAGGTGCTCTGCCACTGAGTTACAACTCAGCCTCACAATTAGGAATTTTGAATACAGATTGGTATTACGTGATATTCATGGATAATTACTTTTTTTGTGTGGTACTAGGGAAACTCCAGGGGTGCTTTAACACTGAGCTACATCCCTAGTCCTTTTTATTTTTTTTTTTAAATTTGAAACAGGGTCTTTTTTAAATTGCTGGGGCTGGCCTTGAACTTATGATCCTTCTTTCCTCAATCTCTCAAATTGCTGGGATTACAGGAATGTACCACTGCAACCAGCTCCCAGGGATTATTAATTTTTGTTTGGTCTAATTTGTAAGGGGAAAGGTGTATTTTTTAGAGAGGTAAGCCAAAGTATAGTATGGATAAAATATTAATGTTATTTTCTTTAAATCACTTTAGTTTAAAAATAAAGACATAAACCAGATGTGGTGACACATGCCTGTAACCCCAACCACTTAGGAAGCTCACGTAGGAGGATTTTGAGTCTGAGGCCAGCCTGGGCAACTTGGTGAGATTCTGTCTCAAAAAATTTAAAAGGTTGGGGACATGGATCAGAGGGAGAGTGTTCCTAGGTTCAATCCCCAGTAACTATTAAAAAAAAAAAAAGGCCAAGCATGGTGGCACACGCCTATAAACCTGACATCTGACTCAGGTGGCTGAGGCAGAAGAATCACAGGTTAAAGGCCAGCCTCAAGAAACGTAGCAAAGCCCTAAACAACTCAACAAGACCCTGCCTCAAAATAAAAAATAAGGGGCTGGGGATGTGGCTCAAGTGGTAGCGCACTTGCCTGGCGTGCGTGCGGCCCGGGTTCGATCCTCAGCACCACATACAAACAAAGATGTTGTGTCCGCCAAAAACTAAAAAATAAATATTAAAAAAATACTCTCTCTCTCTCTCTCTCATTCTCTCTCTCTCTCTTTAAAAAAAAAAAAAATAAAAAAATAAAAAAAAAATAAAAAATAAAAAAGGGCTGAGGATGTGGCTTAGGAGTTGAACACCCCTGAGTTTAATCCCTAGCAAGCCCTCCCCCCACCCCCCAAAAAAAGGTGAGCCATAAAATAAATCAACCAGTTACTGAAGTATAACATATCAGAGAATTCTTTCCAGCCTCTAGTAGCTTATGGTCACTTTATCAGTAGGCAGCTGTATTTAGATGGGTCAGGTTCAGGTCACTCTTCCCTACTACAGAGACTGATGAGCCTCACAAGCAGGGAAAAAGGCTTGGGGTGCCCAGTCCGGGGAACCAGGCATTAGACAGCACATGAGGGGCCTCTTCTGGGTATTTTTTCCTAGCCTCCTTCTATTCTCTTACTCTGTTAACATCAAAGTGAGGAGAAAATAACCAGCTTACCTTACACTGCATCACACCAGGAGTCCTGGTAACAGAATGAAACCACCTTGCTTCCAGTTTAAAAAAGACTATACCTCTTTGACTGGAATTACAAATAAATTTCAGGTTTTGTATTCTGAAAACCTGAAAACCCAGTTTGACTCTATTTTGGGGGGGGGGGGAGGGAAAGCAGTACTTGGGACTGAACCCAGTGATGCTCTAATGCAGAGCTATGTCCCTTGGCCTTTTTATTTTGACACAGGTTCTAAGCTGTGGAGGATCTTGCTAAGTTGCCCAGGCTGGCCTTGAACCTGTAATCTTCCTGCCTCAGTCTCCTGTGTAAAGGTGTGGGCCACCATGCCCAGCCCACAGTTTATTTTTTTTTATTTTTTATTTTTTTTTAAAGATAGAGTGAGGGGGGGAGAGAGAGAGAATTTTTAATATTTATTTTTTAGTTTTCGGCGGACACAACATCTTTGTTTTGTATGTGGTGCTGAGGATCGAACCTGGGCCGCACGCATGCCAGGAGAGCGCGCTACCGCTTGAGCCACATCCCCAGCCCCCCAGCCCACAGTTTAACTCTTGATAATATCACCTAAGCTTTTTCCAGCCTACCAGGCAAGGGAGAAAACAATTCTCAAGCATTGAAGCATCTTGGCAAATACTTTAATAACACACACTGTCAAATCCTGGGATATACAGTCCTTGAAACACTGCCCACACTAAAGCTGCTGAAATGCATGTTCCTAGGTCTTCCATCTAGTTTTGTAGCCTCACAGTCCTTTAATAGAACTGGGTTTGCAGTACCTTATCCTGTCCACATCCCCACAGGGAAATGTTAATCATGCAGATTGTTGACGCTCACTACCTCTGCAATGGCAGGGGCTCTTTATGATTAAACCAGAATGGAGAAAAACAGTATCAGCTGACCCAAAGAGAATTCAGGTTTTATTTTTCAAAAAGTCACTCTCATTTCAGTTTTCTCCAGGAATGGGGTAGAGTAGCTTCAGGATGAGCATAAAGATTCCCACTGTCGGAATATTCGGAATACTTTTCTTGATTTTTCAGAGAGACTCTATTGGTAGAAAAAGATTATTATTAGGATTAAATTCTTTTATAGAGACAAATAACAAATAACACATAAAAGTTTTATCTAACTAGACAACACAAAGCTTAAGGGGGCTGGGGTGAATGAGTTTGATGTTGGAAAAAAGTTTACACTATTTTTTTTTTAGACTCTACAGTATCAGAATCTATAAATTTCTTCTACAATGATCAAAATATTTCTAGGACTGAATACAAACCCATTTTATAATATGCTATAATGTACAGTTAAGATTAAATGAAATTGGGCTGGGGATGTGGCTCAAGCGGTAGCGCGCTCGCCTGGCATGCGTGCGGCCCGGGTTTGATCCTCAGCACCACATACAAACTCAGCACCACATACAAACAAAGATGTTGTGTCCGCTGAAAACTAAAAAATTTAAAAAAAAAAAAAAGATTAAATGAAATCAAGAAGCCTTTGTTCTACTGTCAGACTGCTGTTAACAAACTGAGGCAACAAACATGGCTTATCATCTTTTCTTTAAATATTTATTTTTTTTAGTTTTCCGCGAACACAACATCTTTGTATGTGGTGCTGAGAATCGAACCCGGGCCGCACGCATGCCAGGCAAGCGCGCTACCGATTGAGCCACATCCCCAGCCCATCTCATCATCTTTTCTAAGTGTCTAATCTTTCTATGTGATGATGACACTTCCGACCTACCATTAATAGAGCACACATTCATTTTGCATTTTTTAAAAAATCCATGATGTTCAAATGGCCCAAGTTCATTATTTCTTGTGAACAGGATTCAAATTTACCTGGAACCTACCTACTTGGGGTTAACAGTATAATCCAAGGCCAAGAAATAAATGTTGAATAACCCCTAAGAGTCTAAACTATGACCTTGACTTTCTCAGCTTCATTTTTAGCCAGCAGAGCTAAAAATAGGAAGACTCTCATTGCCACTAGATCATACCTATCAAGTGCTCTGAGATTCTGAGAAATAGTGTTACAGGAGACAAAGCAATTCATTAGAAGATAAAAGTTCTCGGTAAATCAGAACACTTGGTTCTCTCTGTCTTTGAGATAATAAAGAGCAGATATTTCACATAGCAAGAACTTCAGTAAGAGAATAAAGAATATTTAGTAAGATGAGCCATAAAATAACCTCCAGTTTCTCATATAAGATGGCATTTCTACTGTTTTCCTTTCCTCTTTGTGGGATGAAATTTTTAATAAAACGAGGAGCCAGGAGGAAAAGTTTGAGCTCTGACTCGAGGAACTAAGGGAATTTAGTTTAGTAAAAAACTGAAAGAAACAAAGTTGAAAAAAGAAATAGTATAAACTTTTTCCAACATCAAGCTCCTTCACCATAGCCCCATCAAGCTTTGTTTCACCCAGTCATAGCAGCTGGTGGGAAGATTAAAAGACGAGCTACTAAAAAGGATTCTAAGAGCCCCAGAATCCAGGACCAATTATGAGGCCAACTTTTTCTACAAATGAATGAAAAACCTAACCCTGTGTGGTTTCTTTTTGGTATAACAGTAATAGAGGGAACTGTTAGTAAAACTGCCAAAATATTACTTCCTAAAGGTCTAGGTAGAGAGAACTTATGTGCAAATATAGATTTAATAACTCCAAATTGAATAGCTGGGCAAATATTTTTCTTTAAATAGCTTTACACAATTCCAATTGTTTTTAAATTGAAAAGAAGTGATTTTTTTTTCCTGCAAAAACTTGGACACATTCATCTACATATTTTCTAAAGGCACTAATATACATTGTTCATTGCTGGGCTTTTTTTTTTTTTTTTTTTTTTTTTTAGCACTCTACTGACTAAGCTATATTCTCAGCCCTGATCTGTAATCTTTTTTTTTTTAATATTTTATTTACATTTTAGTTTTCGGCAGACACAACATCTTTGTTTGTATGTGGTGCTGAGGATGGAACCCGGGCCGCACCCATGCCAGGCGAGTGCGCTACTGCTTGAGCCACATCCCCAGCCCCTCATTGCTGGGCTTTAAGCATAAGTACTAGCTGGGAGTGGCAGCACACTCCCATAATTCCAGCAACTTGGGAGCCAGACTCAGCAGCTTAATGAGACCTGGTCTCAAAAAGAAAAAAGTAAAAATAAAAAGTGCTGGGGATATAGCTCAATGGTAGAGTGCCCCTGGGTTCGATCTCCAGTACCAAAAAAAACATCAGTGCAGCTCCTTCCAGTGGCTTCCTAAGACCCTACAAAACCATGAATTTGGGAACACTGGCTGGCAGGTATTACTTTGCTTTGACCTTGGAGGGTGTAGAGATCAGTAATTTTTAGGCGAATATGAAAGTAAGTCCGCTAACGGAAACAAAATAGTTCTTAACATTCCATTAGGGAATTATGGTGGACACTAAGGACACACATCACTCTCATTCTTGACAATGGCTTTGCATGTACCCACATTTGTTAACCACAGTAGCCATGACTGTGATGGCTAATGATGGTCCAACGCACATGCCTGACTGATACAGGGAGTGAAAGAAACTGGCTTGGTGTCAGAGCACAGATCCAAAGGCTAAGTTATCGGGCCAGGCTCCAAAGGCAAGTGACAGCAATTGATGGAGAAAGCAGCTGCGCTGCAACATGAGGCCACAGCAGCTGCCTATTCATCTATTTCTGTTTCTGTATTACTTTTCCACTTTGAGTCATTTTATTTGAGAGAACAAAGAACTTAACAGAATTTGATGGAATGCCATATACTAAGCCGCAGAAAGACTGACCACTTCCACACCTTTCTTAAGGATAAATCAGAATAAGTCTACAAGACTTAGGAAAGCTGAAGGCAGGCAGGTGCTAATTATAGGACTAACTGCTGCTGCTTATCCCATAAAGATCAAGTGCTGCATACAAGCAGGGCAACAGCTTATCTCACCATGGAGTCTATTTCAGCTGGCTGATTAGACTGTTTGTGGGCCAACAGGAGGGTCAGCACTGCCTTCCAGCCCGGCTCTGCTGGGGTGCTGGCATCAAGCTCTGTTCCATCATTCTCCCTAGATTCTTTGCCAAGTGTGATATTCACCCAAGGACACCAGTCTCTGTGCTGAGAGGTAGGATCAAAGAAGCTCCGGGAAGATGTGTCCTGAGGGAGGAGGAAGAGAGAGTGTTAATGAAGGGCAGATGCTATGTCTCTTCAGGGAGGAATATTATTATAGGCATATTATTAGTCATAAAGTCCAAAATCTCATAATTGTCCTCACTTCTAGTTTTAATGCTTTTAAATTCTGTCTTTTAAAAATTTTCCTTTCAGTTCTTTTTTTTTAAATTGTAGTTGGTCACAATATCTCTATTTATTTATTTTTATGTGGTGCTGAGGATCAAACCCAGGACCCCACACATGCTAAGCGAGTGCTCTACTGCTGAGCCACAACCCCAGCCCATTCCTTTCAGTCCTTTTGTGTTAAACAAACTACCTTATCAGCTTTGTCCCCCCACCTCACTGCTATACCATTAGCCTCAAATATTTATTACCTCTCCAGAATCTACCCAAAGGAACAAATGACAAAACCCTTCAATCTTTTCCCTTTGGTCACCTATTTCATCTTTAACCCTATTCACGCAGTCTACCTTTAGCCAGAGGACCCGGGGTGGTTCACGCTTGTGTCTCAGTGCTGCGTGGTGAGAGCACAGCCTGCTGTTTGTGCTCAGTGATGGCTACATGAGAAGGTGGACTCACTGAGCTGCTGGAAGAGCAGAGGCGAGCTCGTTTGGCTTTCCGGAGGGGACTAGAGGGTACTTCCAGGCTAGCAGAGTCTCCTGTTCCCATGCTTCGAGTCACTGGCCGGGTTCTGGTGGTGGGGCTGGCTGCCTCCGGCTCAGGCCGATCAACAGGACTAGAAGAATCCCAGCTCCGAGTTCGGGAGACAATGGGACTAGGGCTCTTTTCAACCTGAAGAGGAAACATGGAAAGTCCATGCATCATGTTGATGATTATGGCCAGAAGTATTTCTTAAAACATATGAAATCAAGTATTTTATAGTTTATATTAGGTTTCAGAGAAAATCTTTAATTGGTACATTGAAAATAATTTAGTCTCCAGGATATATAAAGAACTCAAAAAACTTAACACCAAAAAAACAAACAACCCAATTAATAAATGAGCTAAGGGGCTAAACAGACACTTCTCAGAAGATGTACATCCGATCAACAAATACATGAAAAAATGTTCAACATCTCTAGTAATTACAGAAATGCAAATCAAAACTACTCTAAGATTTCACTTCACGCCAGTCAGAATGGCAGTTATCAATAATATAAACAACAATAAGTGTTGGTGAGGATGTAGGGGAAAAGGCACACTCATATATTGCCCGGTGGGACTGCAAATTGGTGCAACCACTCTGGAAAGCAAGGTCTTTCAGAAAACTTGGAATGGAACCACCATTTGACCCAGCTATCCCACTCCTCATATATACCCAAAGGACTTAAAATCAGCATATAGCTAAATCGTGGAAGCAACCTAGATGCGCTTTAAGACATGAATAGATAAATAAACTGTGATACACACACACACACACACACACAAACACACACACAAATATTACTCAGCATTAAAAGAGAATAAAATTATTATATTACTCAGCATTTGCAAGTAAACGAATGGAGTTGGAGAATATCATGGTAAGCGAAGTAAGCTAATACCAAAAATCTAAAGGGCAAATGTTCTGTCTGATAAGTGGATGCTGATCCATAATGGGGGAGGGCATGGGAAAAATGGAGGAACTCTGATTGGGCAAAGGGGATGAAGGAAGCAGAGGGTATGGGGGTAGGAAAGATGGTGGAAGGTGATGGACCTTACCCTAGGCACATGTATGACTGGTGTGAAGCTACATTGTGTACAATCAGAGAAATGAACAGTTGTGCTGCAATTGTTTACAATGAATCAAAATGCATTCTTCTGTCATACGTACCTAATTAAAATAAATACACTAAAAAAAAAGAAAGAAAATAATTTAGGCTGTCTGTGGTTACATATGACTATAATCCCAGTGACTTGGGAGACCGAGGCAGGAGGATTCCAAGTTTGAGGCCAGTCTTAGCAACATAGCAAGGCACTACGCAACTGAGACCCTGACTCAAAAAAAGGGGGGAGTGGGGGGTGGGGGATGTAGCTCAGTGGTAAAGAGACCCTGGGTTCAATTCCTCAGTACAAACAAAACAAAACATTACTAAAAAATTATATGGAGGGCTGAGATTGTGGCTCACCGGTAGAGTGCTCGCCTAGTACGGGCGGGACCCGGGTTCGAGTCTCAGCACCACATAAAAATAAAGGCATTGTGTTGTGTCTATCTACACCTAAAAAATAAATATATATAAAAAATTATTTGGAGCAGCGTGCAATGACACAAGCCTATAATTTCAGTGACTTGGGAAGCAGAGGCAGGAGAATCACAAATTCCAGGTCAGCCTCAGCAACTCAGTCAAATCCTGTCTCAAACAAAACAGAAAGCAATGTGGCTCCACAGTAGAGTGCTCCTAGATTCAATTTCTGGAACTACAAATAAATGAATAAAAATTTAGTTTCTGCCAGACACAGCAGTGCACTCCTATAGTCCTGAAGCTGAGGCAGGAGGATTGTAAATTAAAGGCCATCCTCAGCAACTTAGCTAGACACTGTCTCAAAATTTACAAAAAGGGGCTGGGCTTGTAGCTCAATGGTAGAACGCTTGCCTAGCATGTTTGAGGCACTGGATCGATTCTCAGCACCACATATAAATAAATAAAGGACCATTGACAACTAAAAAATATTTTTTAAAAAAATTTACAAAAGGGCTAGGGATAAAGCTCAATGGTACATCCTGGGTTCAATCCCCAGTACCACCAAAAAAAAAAAAAAAATTCTTTTACCTACATAAGTACACTCTTCTAAGAATACTATATTTCTTTATTGAATTTCTATAACAAATTTAGCTTCTCAATTGATGAACAGAAAAATGACATAATACTCTGATCAATATGGCCAGAAGTGAAACCTACCCACCAATTTTCCACTTTCTACCACCAACACTTTTGGCAACAATGTCTTTAAAATGTCCACCTCAAACAAGTTAAGTCAATACCTGCTCTGAGCCTGGGGAAAATGTGGCATCCTGGCTCCTGGTCATCATCCTCCGAGGCGATTCAGGCACCAGAGGGAAGCGCTCTGGACGACCTTCAGGGCCTGGGACTGGAGAGTTGGTCAGGCCAAAGGATGTATCCAGGTCAGTCATGGATGATTCGATCTGCTGGAAGCCCCAGAGCCCCACCTTTCTCATACACTGTGAACATGTTATCAGGGAGAGCTGCATGGGTTCCAAAGCAGAACTAGGAAGAAATGGAAAACAAGCTGGGTCTTTCTGAAGGATAACACTTCTATGTGACCAAGTGTAATGTGAGTATGGTTCATCTCATCAAAAAAATCTCAGTGGTTCAGGGAACTGGAAACCATGTCCTTACATCCTCTGATCTGAGGACAGTCATCTTCCTATGTCTCTCCATCACCTCTTACATTATTTCTTGGTGTGCTCTCTATGGCAAGGCTATGTAGGAAGTACATTTTATAAAATTGTCCTGTCCCTCTTTATTTTATTTTATTTTTTTTTTTTAAAACATATTTATTTATTTAGTTAGTTATTGGCAGACACAACATCTTTGTTGGTATGTGGTGCTGAGGATCGAACCCAGGCCACACGCATGCCAGACGAGCGTGCTACCGCTTGAGCCACATCCCCAGCCCCCCGTCCCTCTTTAAACTCTTTCCTAATCTACCAAAGAAAGCATATCAAAGGTAAATCAAACCAGGCATGGTGGTGCATGCCGGCAATCCTAGCAATCTGGGAGGCTGAGGCAGGAGGATTGCAAGTTTTAGCCAGTGTCAGCAACTTGTTAACACACTGTTTCAAATACAAAAAATAAAAAGAGACATGGCTCAGTGGCATAGCACTCATCTAGGGTGTGTGAGGCCCTGCCTAGCTTTGTTCCCCATTGGGGGCCAAAAAAATTTTGTTTCAAAAATCTTCTATCTCAGAGGCAGTCTCTGCCAAACTGAGCAGTTAAAAAAAACACATCAGCATGGGGCAAGGGGATACCAACTGGTGTCTGAAATTTTAGGGAGTGCTGGGGACTGAACCCAGGGCTTTGCACATGCTAGGAAAGTGCTCTATCTGGTTACACTTGCATCCCCCACCAATCTCTGGTAGTTTTTACTCAATTACACTGATTTTTCTTTCTAAAAATAGCTTATTTTCTATTTTCAAAAAGGAGCTTCACTGCTTATAGGAACATACCTGGATAGTTACAGTACAAGAAACAAAGTTCAGGTGTGAAGACAAGGAATCCCCAAGTTCTAATTCTCTTTGTTACTAATTATTATCTATCCCGCACCCATCCACTCCTCCCCTCACTTTTCTCTTTGTTTCTGTTTTCTCACTGGAAACATCATGTGATTTCCAAATACTATAAGTGAATGATATACATATGGGTGTATGCAACTATCACAGCTTATGCCCTCAGGCAAAATTTGCTGACTGACCTACATGCCCAGCCACACAGAGAGAGAACACAAGAAGTGATGTGGACTTGGATGTCGGAGCCTAACTTGCTTGGAGTTTTTCTCTCTTTAGTTCGGTGATCAAGTTCATCTTCAAGCAGGTGTAACAGAAGACTGATCTTGTCTTCTGTCAAGCACTACAAAGGAACCAGATAAAAAACTTCAAGTTTTTACCATTATACAAAGAAAAATTATTCATATGATGTACTTATATGGTACAAGGCAAAAATCAGGGGAAAAAATGACAAATATGATGAGACTGACCTCATAGAGATTTATTTTAGGCAGGGCTAAGGAATCACACAGCAGCTTTATTTTTCCCCTATGGTCCTAGGGATTGAACCCAGAGGTGGTCTGCCAGTGAGCCACATTTTTGTTTTATTTTGAGACAGGGTCTTCTTACTCGGTTGCTGAGGCGTCCCCCAAAAGCTCATGTGTGAGACAATGTAAGAGAACTGATTGGGTCATAACCTTAACCCAATCAGTTAATTAATCCCTGATGGGATTAACTGAGTGATGACTGGATATGGGTGGGGTGTGGTTGGAGGAAATAATTTATGGGGTCATGGCTATGGGGTGTGTATTTTGTATCTGCAGAGTGGAGTCTCTCCCTCTCTGCTTCCTGATCATCACGTGAGCTGGTTCCCTCTGCCACACTGTCTTCCACCATGATGTTCAGTCTCACTCGAGCCCTGAGGAATGGAGACTGAGACCTCTGATATAGTGAGCACCTCAAATAAACTTTTCCTCCTCTACAGTTCTTCTGGTTGGGTCCTTTAGTCACAGTAGTGTAATAGATGACTAAAATAAGCTGCTATTTCCTATAATATAGCTTTTCCTCACAGCACTAACAGGCTAATGAAATGGGATAGTAAATATGGAATTTCAAAGTACAGATGGGCCAGAGTATTTCAACACTTCTATTCACAGGAAGAGTTTATTACTTGGCCTCTATCACTATGGAAAATTATATGCAAAAAATGATATGCAGTCACATGTCAGTGTCTTCTGTTAAACAATATAAGTAACTAATCAAGATAAAATTAAATTTGCCACTTCAAGAATCATACCTAAACATTTAAGTGGAACCTATTTGCTTCAACCCTCAATAGTCACTTTCTGGTTGAAATCGAAAAGGTCAGATGAGAAATGAATGAGTTGTTCTCTTCCTAATAATCTGCACCATTTTGTCATTAAAAGAATTATTTCATGTACAAATGCTGATGACAAGTGGAGGTCACTACAACCTAGCCAAGAAAAACTCACCATAGTTTTCAAGTCCTCTGGCCTCAGGGAAGGAAGCTGGAGGTCCAAGTGACAAAGGTTTTGAAAACGATCTAGGAATTCACTAATAAGAACAGCAGGCTCATCTAATGGTAACATCCCAAATCGATCTATGGAAAAAGTAAACAGGAAGATGATATTGGTATACAAAATAAAAAAAACACAGAGGCTTGAACAGGTGACAAAGCTTAGAGAACCAGCCTTTTATAACAACTACCAAGCTGTCAGAAACATAACTTATTGTGAGCCAGGAAGGAAAAAACCCTACAGGTAAACCCTATCTTCATCTTCATCTATGGAATCTGGTACACTGGAAAAAGCACATTGAGGACAGAAAGGTCTTGCTGAGGTACTTCCTAAGGAGACTAGGCTATCTGGCCAAGAATGATTAGTAAAAACCACAATTAATCAGCTCTGACAAAGAATGAAAATACATTTTGACCAGTCATGGTGGCCATGCCTGTAATCTCAGCAACTAGGAAGGCTGAGGCAGAAGGATCATAAGTTTGAGGTAAACTTAGTAAGATCTGTCTCAAATGAAAAATAAAAAGGGCTGGGGATGTAGCTTAGTGGTAGTGACCCTGGGTTCAATCCCCAGTACCACCCTCCGCCACACACGTGAAATTTCACATGTCACCCTAAACTGATCATTTAAAAAGTATCCAGCAAGGCTGGGGATGTGGCTCAAGCGGTAGCGCGCTCGCCTGGCATGCGTGCGGCCTGGGTTTGATCCTCAGCACCACATACAAACAAAGATGTTGTGTCCGCCAAAAACTGAAAAATAAATATTAAAAATTCAAAAAAAAAAAAAAAAGTATCCAGCAGCTAGGGATGTACCTAGGATCACCTGCTGAGCATTTATAAGGCCTTCCCTGGGTTTAATCCCCAGCATCACAAAAACAAAAAAAAAAAAAGAAAGAAAGAATAAAAATATTTAGCAGTGATGATTTCAAGGGTGTACACATATGTCATATGTGAAAACTTACCAATTTGTATCTCTAAATATTTTAGTTTATTTTGTATTAATAGTAGTAACAGTAGCACTTCTGCCCAATAATTATAGGCCTCATTAGCAATCAGATTTTGGTCTCTAATACTATTCTAATGCTAGTAAAACGATCAAGCTCTTGAGAGAGCTGCTGATTTCACATTGTGAGGTAGGGAAAATAAATCAAGTTGTATCCAGAATAGAAGTCTGTTGCTGCCAAGCAAGAATGCTTTCAAGAATGTTAGAGACAATGTTGAAAGTACAGAAGAGCCAGTTTAAAGGAAATCAATCCATTATTTCCAGCTATGAATACCTTGAAACTCAAATAAGAAAATTACTTATAATTAAAATAAAATGCCTTTGAAAGGCTATGAATTCTTAATGATATGCAAACAAATACAATACAAACAAGCATAAAAGAGTAACTTTTTTTGCCGTCCTGGGACTGAACTAAGGCACTGCTCAAGCTAGGCAAGTGGCTCCACCACTGAACTACATCCCCAGCCCTTTTTATTTTATTTGGAGACAGGGTCTACCAAAGTAACCCAGTCTGGCATTGAATTTGTGATCCTCCTACCTTAATCTCCTAGACTAAGATCACAAATAGCTGGAATGACACATATGCACCACTTGCACCTAGCTAATTGTTAATTTTAAATTAATTCTAGTAAGTAGGAGAGCACTGATGTATTGAGTACTTTTTCCTGTTAAGTACATGTCACTTGCTTCTCTGTAGGATGTCATTGTGGGAATGGTGGACTGAGAACCTCTGAAAATCCTATCTTCTATAAAAGCAATAAGAATGTTGGTAAAATTGTAAAACTACTTTCTTAGCATTCTCAAATTTAACCAAAGGCTTGCAATAATCTGAGAAGTGTTTATTCAAGAAAAAAATGGCAGAATCTTGATAAGAATAAAGGCTCTAGTCAGCTTGGAAAATGAACTTATGGCATTTTAATTTGTATTGTATCCATCCTTCTTTCCCCAGCTTAGATCCTCCATATAGCCCTGAAAACCAAGAGTTCCACAATCATAATGCAAATCAGCAGCTTAACAGCCTTGGAAGAGGACATTGGGGAGCTGTGCTCCTCCAAAGCCCCATCTTAGAGACTGTTATTATATGATCTAACAGTGAATGAAAAATCATATTGGCCCAGTGAAATCAGTAGTACAGCACTTGTCTAGCATATGAGAAGCCTTCTTTTCCTGAGAATGGTTTTCAAGAACAGTTGTTTTAAGCAAATATTTAGTATCACAGTTAAACTGAGGCAACCAAGGGCTGGGGATGTGGCTAAAGTGGTAGCGTGCTCGCCTAGCATGTGTGGGGCACTGGGTTAAATTCTCAGCACCACATAAAAATGAAATAAAGATATTGTGTCCACCTAAAAAAACAAATACTTTAAAAAAAATGAGGGATCACTTAAAAAACAAAAAACAGAGGCAACCAAAACAGTTGGGGGCAAGCAACAAACGGACCACAAACCTTAAAATGAAAAGTTGGGAACTGAGATGTCCATAGGAGGGTTTGAAAAGCTCTGACACACTCCTTGGAATCTGAGATATGCGAATGTGTAGGGCTGTACATAAGCTCAGGAAAGACCTAAAAAGGCCCTAAGCTCTCATCTATGGCTGAGTTGGTGGCTCTGTGCAAGGAGGAAGTGAGACCTAATGCAGATTTGCAAACTGCCTGCTTGACAACTTGACCCAATGCACAGAGTTCCTTGACAAAGACTGGGGGACTTATTGTTTGTAAGCATTTAAGGAAATCTCTGAACAAATCATCATCTAACCAAGCAGAGACTTCAGCAACACCTATGATAAAGAAGATGTATTTTATAGAAGCAGCTCAGAAAAAGTAACTAAACAAACAATAAATAATAACAACAAACACTGGTGGTGGTGGGGTGGATTTCCAAAGTTGACACATCATGAAACATAGGTAGAAAATTTAAAACGTTCAAAAAACTAAAGGAAAGCATGAGAAGGATATCTTACTAAATAAAGAATAGCAATAAAGAGAAAAATTAAAAACTGTGAAGTTGGAAAGCATAACTAGATACACACAACCCCCTCTCCCCCAAAACACACACACAAAAACAAGCAAGGTGAAACGGTTTGAAACATAGAAAATGTTGGTATTATTTGGGACTGGGTGGTAGAAATCTTGTCTATATTTGAAAATTTTCAAAATTTTAGAAATTATTTTAAAAGTTAAAAAATTAAAACAAAGGAATACTTCCTTTTTCTCTTTTTCCCAGTACTGGGGATTGAACCTAGGGCCTTGCATGATGTGCTAGGCAAACATTCTACAATGAGTTACTGAAAGTGGGACTTGCTACATTCGGGGTGATTAAATCAAAATATTTAAAGTCATTGTAAATATAGTTAGCCCTCAAAATCCATGGGTACTGCATCCTAGATTCAACCACTGCAAAAAAAAAAAAAAAAATCTGTACTGAGCAGGTACAGGCTTTTTATAACAACTATTTGATACAGTATATTCTATTAAGTAACATAAGTAATCTAGAGATGCTTTAAGGTATATAGGAAGAAGAAAGTAGGTTTTACACAAACACTATGTCATTTTATATAAAGGCCTTGAGGATCTGCAGGTTTTAGTATCAAAGGGAGTTTTAGAACCAATTATTCATGGATAAAATGGACGACTATAACCACATATGTCAAAATACATGCCATCAATTAATTTAATTTATTCATTCATTTTGTGATACTGGGGATTCAACTTAGGGCTTCCTATATGCTAGGCAAGTGCTCTACCACTGAGGTACATCCCCAGTCCTTTTATTTTATTTTGAGACAGGGTCTTGCAAAATTGCTCTGACTCTCCTGGAAGTTGTAATCTTTCTGCCTCAAGCTCCTGAGTAGCTGGGATTACAGGTGTGTGTGCCAATGCAACCAGCACCATCAATTTAAGAAACATTACTTTACTAAGGAATCAGGTTACAGGCTGAAGTGTGTTTCAAAGGTAGAGTGCTTACCTAGCATGAGTGAGACCCTAGGCTTGAACTCTAGCACTACAAAGAAAAAGTAAAATTAAAATAAAAGGAAAAGGTATAGATTTTAAAAATCAAGTAATGTTTAACAATAAAAAGGTATATGTTCTGATGACCAGGGCTTAGGTTTGGCAAAATCTGGGAAAAGAAACCAGGTCCCAAGGCCCTTCTGATCATTTTCTAATTTAGTGTTTTGTTTGATTGCTACAATACTAAGAAAGCAACAGCAAAATCTTATGAAGGTAAAAGAACAGAGAGGAAATGAAACCCATTAGGAAAATGTCTTAACATAATAAGCTTAAATATCTTTCATAATTAATGTATTTGTATATTTTGTTTATAAAGTGTTTGAACATATTCAAAATAATCAGCCCTAGTAAGTTAGCAAATGTCATTTAAATGTTTAAAGCAACTGTATAATTATTAGAAAAAAATTACCTTAAAATTTAATAGGTATGCTTAATAAATTCGAATTACAACATAAATAGTGTGCACATTCCTTTCTCCACATAAAAATCTCTTTTATGTTAAAGAACCAAACTAGGAATGCTGTAATTAAGAAGTTATATCTGAGACCTACTTAGGAGAAAGAATGAATAGGATACAATGGGTGACGATAGAAAAGGGTGGCTAAAAATGACTTCTGGATTTAGGACAAATGGATGGAGAGGTCAGTGCCATTTACTGAGCTGGGCAAAGCTTTGGGTATATGAGAAGAGTTCAACTTTGTGTAAGTTGAGTTCCAGGTACCTATAATAATAAGTGGAAATATTTAGAGAATACTTGAAAATATGAATCAAGTTCAAAAAAAAGGTCTAGATAGGAATTAGAGGTCTTCAAGGTAGTAAAATTGTGAATGGGATCAAGAAAGCAATGTGTATAATTACAAGAGTTAATAAGTTATGAACAGAGTGCTAGGCAGACTCTATAAACTTAAACTCAGTGCACTGGGAAGGATGGACTTCAGTCCTCACAGGGCTGAGCTGTGCTATACAGTGATACAATTTAGGCCAACAGTAGGAAATCTTTGTCGTATGTTAACTTCTTTTAGAAAGTGTCATCAGAGGTAGATAACAATCCATAGTCACTTTTAATCTATTTTATCCTCTTAGTAGTCATTCATGGAATATTCCTAGCCATTAGTGACCCTGGAATTAGCGTGAGCTGTCTTCTTAAAATAAAAAATATACCTACACTGCACTGTTCTGTGGTCAAGGAATGACAAATACAGATGAACGGTTCTGCTTTGTAAACATGGGTCTGAAAAATTTTGTTCTGCTCTTAGTGAGATTCCCCACCAGAGGGCTCTGCTGTTGAAGCAATTTACTTAGCAGAAACATGTCTGCATAAATAACAAAATATTTCAAAATCCTAGCTGATACTGTATGTTTGGCTTATTATAAAGCACTCTGTGCACACATCAGTGGTTCCTGATTTCAGGGAGACTATGTCCTGCCATGGCCCTTACACAAAGGGGAGAGAAGACTAGGACCTGCCTTTCCACACTCTGTTGTGACACCACTCTTATTTGGGGTCCCCTGAGCCTCCTGTAACAACCAAAATGTATTTACCTCTAAAGAAGCTTTGGTAGAACCTGGAGCTACACAGTATATGGGAAAAGCAGAGTTTGGAATCAGATAAAATCATAGTTATGGTTCTCTTTAGTTTGTCTTAGGATCTCTGATTCTTAGTTTCCTCAATTAAAAAAGCTCAGTTGATGATATCTACATCCTAGGCCCTATGAAGATTAAATGGGATAATGTATACACATTATGCACTTAATGAGTAGTAAAATAAATGAATACAGGGGTTGGGGCTGTGGCTCATTGGTAGAGCGCCTGCCTGGCACATATGAGGCACCGGGTTCGATCCTCAGCACCACATAATTAATAAAGAAAGAAAGAAAGAAATTGTGTCCATCTACAACAACAACAAAAAAAACCTTAAAAACAGCATACTACGGGAACACAGCCACATTATGTTTATAGCAGCCCAATTCACAATAGCTAAACTGTGGAGCCAACCTAGATGTCCTTCAGTGGATGAATGGATTAAAAAAAATGTGGCATTTATATACAATGGAATATTACTCAGCATTAAAAAGGAACATAATCATGGTATTTGCAGGTAAATGGATGGCGCTGGAGAAGATAATGCTAAGTGAAGTCAGCCAATCCCAAAAAATCAAATGCCAAATATTTTCTCTGATATAAGGGGGGGTGACTCATAATAGGGTAGGGAGGGAAAGCATGGGAAGATTAAATTAATTCTAGATAGGGAAGAGGGGTGGGAGGGAAATGGAGGGGAAAGGGGATTAGCAAGGATGGGTGGAATATGATGGACATCATTATACTAAGTACACTTATGAAGACTTGAATTGGGTGTCAACATACCTTATATACAGAGATATGAAAAATTGTGGTATATATGTGTATTAAGAATTATAATGCAAAAAAGGTACATGTATAATGGCATAAATTGACATGAGCATACTTTATATACAGAGATATGAAAAATTGTGCTCTATATGTGTAATAAGGATTATAATGCATTCCACTGTTGTCATGTATTTAAAAAAAATTAAAAATTAAAAAACAAATGAATGCAAGTTCTTGAAAAGCACAAATAGAAGAAAAAGAAGGATTAGGTTTCTTTCTTTCTTTCTCTCTCTCTCACCCGCCGCCCCCCTCACACACACACACACACACACACACACACAAAGAGGACAACACTAGAAATGCAATGACCCAGAAGATATAAAATGAGAATTCTCAGAAATAAGTACCTGGAGAGGGGCTGTCTGGCCAAAAACAGAACTTCTCATGGGCAGTACACAAGGATTTCTTCAGCTCAGCACATCGTTCCTTATCTGAAATCCACACAGGTAGAAATGCCTTAAAAAAACACTGTATAGATTCAAAAACCAAAAGCCTTAAAGAGTACAAATACAACTACAAATAGAAACAACTAAGATAATTTAAAAATACACAAAAATAGTAGAAATATTTCATCTTAACATTTTCCATGAAAAAGCTCTAAACTGTTATCCTAAAATCAACAAATAAGATACATCATTTAACTTACAAGGCTGGGCGTTCCAAAGTGTGAGACTTCAGAAAGTACTTTGTCTAAAAGTACAAATTTTCAAATCAAAAAGTAAACAGATTGCCATCAGCTACCTAGAATACATGAATTCAAGATTCAAGTCCACTCTAGGGTAGCTTAATTTTTTTAAAAAAGTAATGAATGAAGCTAACAATTAGGGTGAAGGCAACTGCAAATTTACCTTATTATATATGGTGAAACAAAAGCTAGTGTATCTTTAAAAGCAGAGGAAAACATAATCCATGTTTTATACTTACATCTGTCAAAATCAAAAGCTGGCTGTAAACTGGCACAGAGAAAAGCTTGACAGCTGGAACACTTGAGCATATCACACTCAACTGTGACCCAACCATATTTTGCACAGACGAGTGGAGACAGCTCAGGGGGCTTCCCTGCCCATTTCAAAGAGTATTCATGTTAAGAAAAACAACACCGCAAGTATATTAACATGAATAAATCAGAAGTAAGACTCATTCTTAATTCATATAAGAATAAATACATCAAATTAAGGAGAAAAGCAGTAATGCAAATGGTAAAGACCATTTTTAAAGCAGATACATGCTTTGCAGAATGAAGGTCATCTGAGTAATAAGCTAAGGGGGGAAAAAGTTCCTAATTTTTTCTGTAGGAAGCTTCTGTATTTTATATGATTCAAAGGTTTTATAACTTACCTATAGTCCTAACTACTTAGGAGGCTGAGACTGTCCTAGGCAACAAACATAGCCAAGACCATATCTTTAAAAAAAAAAAAAAGGTTTCTTTTATTATTGGTTGTGGGGTGGAATATAGAAGCCAATAATTTTCATTTTATCTGAAATACTGGAAACTTAAAAACACTAGTGAAAGCATTAAGACCTGTTTATGCAATAAGGAATGAGCAAAGTCAAAAAGGTAGAAATATTTTCTGCAACTTGTCTTTGTCTTCTAATTGTAGCACATCCACCTTTACTTTCCAAAGAATAAAAGTGGTAAAAATAATAAAAGTTATTATTATTATTATCCCCCCCAAATTTAATTGTTATATACTGTGTATGTGAGCATATATGATTTGAGGGTTATCAAGTCCATTTTATTCAGAGTACATGTGTTAATCAGCCAAGCATATGTTAAGTCCTTAAACATTTATTGATCCTTATTATTCAACACTCACTTTTATAGATCCTTTCTAGACAGTCCTTTTCTATTTTATTTATTTATTTTTTTTGTGGTGCTACGAATTGAACCCAGGGCCTTGTACATGCAAGGCAGGCACTCTACCAAGCTATATCGCCAACTTTGACAGCCCTTATTTTATAAAGCACCAGGAAAAAATAAATAAATAAATGATAAAACATAAAATGTGAGGCAGGAAAGTTCTACAGTAGTTTTATAAGAATCTTTCCCCCCTCAGATAGGGTCTTGCTACGTTACCCACAATGGTCTTGAACTTTTTCTTCTTCTTCTTCTTTTTTTTTTTTTTTGTGCTGGGGATTGAACCCAGAGGCACCTTACCACTGAGTTATAACCCCAGCCCTTTTTAATTTGTTATTATCGGGGTCTCACTAAGTTGCTGAGATTGACTTTGAACTTATGAGTCTCTTGCCTCAGCCTCCAAAATCACTGGGATCACAGGCATGTACCACAGTGCTCAGCCTATTCTTACTTCAGTTTTCTTAGTAGCTGGTATTATGGGCATGCACCACCATGCCTAGCATGATATGGACATTTGAAAACATTTTTATATCAGCAAAAGAATAAATGAAGGCTAGAAAAACAGAATTTAAATATAAATATTAAAGGAACTGGGATTATCTAGTTATAGAATCATTTAACTTGATTAATTGATTATTATATCGAAAATGGTGATCAAGGACTGGGTTTGTAGCTCAGTGGTAAAATGCTTGCCTAGCATAAGTGAGGCCCTGGGTTTGATTCTCAGCACCACGTAAAAACAAAATAAAATAAAAAAGTTAAATTATTTTAAAAAAGAAGAAAATGGTAATCAATTTATAGTCTATGAGAACAAAAAAGAAATAAATCTAAGTACTGCATCAAAATCAGAATTGAATGCAATAAACAATTATAAAAATGATTTAAAATACCTTCCCTTTCCTGAGCAATTTCATCTTAAAACAACAGGTGAGAAATAAGGAAGATGTGTGAGCCAGGATGTAAAGAGGCAGCTCAGTACCAGGTAGCTGAACCCAACTGGGATGAAAAGAGTGTCCATAAAGATGGACGGCCCATGTCAAGATGCTGAAACCAAGCACCATATAAAAGGCATTCACATGGGCAGCTCAGTGCTGAGAGCTACAGTCTAAATGAGTTAAGGAGGGCATTCATGCAGGAAGGAAATGGTAGTATAGCAGTTAAATGCACATAGGAAGACTGATCAAAGAAGTAAATATAATCAGAATAAAAGAAATAAGGTTTCACAAATGTTGAATAAAGAAGGGGCAAATGTGGATAGAGAGAAATAGAATAAATCCTATGGCATACAACTTAAATAGGAGGTATATTGTCAGCTCTCCCTCTGTGTGGGATCTACATCTTCAAATTCACCAACTGTGGATATGAAATCTATATTTTCAAAAATTGTATCTGGGAACTGGGACTATAGTTCAGGGTAAGTGCTTGCCTAGCATGTATGAGGCCCTGGGTTTCACCCACAGAATACCAAAAAAGAAAAAGAACAAATGAAAAAGGTATCTATACTGACCATGTACAGACCTTTTCCTAAACAATGAAATATAACAACTATTTACACAGCATTTACATTGCATGAGGTATTGGGAGTAATCTAGAGATGATTTAAAGTACATGGAGGATACATATAGGTCATGTGTAAGTAAAAGCCATTTTACAGATGGTACTTAAGCATTCAAAGCTTTTGGTGTACAAGGAGGAGCTCTGGAGCCAAACCCCCGTACCAAAACACCCAAAACAACAAACAAAATAAAACATTAGCACATCTGTAAATGTGTTACAACATTTTAAAATGTTCATTGTGCAGCCAGGCACAGTGGTATATACTTGGAAGGCTGAGGCAGAAAGAATGTAAATTTGAGGCCAGCCTCAGCAATTTAATGAGACCGGGTTTCAAAATAAAAAATAAAAAGGGAATTGGGCAGGATGGCACACACATATAATCCTAGCCTCTTGGGAGGCTAAGGCAGGAGAATTACAAATTCAAAGCCACACTCAGGAATTCAGTTAGGCCCTAAGCAACTTAGAGAGACTCTGTCTCAAAAAAAAAGATAAAAAGGCTAGGGATGTGGCTCAATGGTTAAATTCAATCCTGGATTCAATCCCTGCTACCAAAAAATAATCAACCAATCAATCAATCAATCAACAGAGCTGAGGATATGGCTAAGTGGTAGATCACCCTTGGGTTCAATCCCCAACCCCACTTAAAAAGAAAAAGAGAGAGAGAATTCATTGTGTAACTAGGCTGAGGCAGGAAGATTCATTCCAATTTTGACCCAACTCTCAACAATTTAGCAAGACCATATCTCAAAATTTTTAAAAAGGGCTGGAGATGTAGCTCAGTGGTAAAGCACTCCTGGCTTTGATCTCTAGTATCACCAAAAATAATAGCAAAAAAATGTTGTTTTCAGTGGTAGAATGTTTGGCTAGCATGTGCAAGGCTCTGGATTTGATTCTAAGCACTACAGGAAAAAAAATTTTTTAATTATTTCTTATCCCAGAAAGCAATAAGGAGATCAAACAATTACAGAGGACATGTCAAAGGACACAAAAGCCATTCTGAAGGGGATTCCGCTGACTAAACACAAGACAATTAGAGCATCAAAATATATACTGATGGTTTTATATATATATATAAAAAAACCCTACTGAGTAACAAAAAGAAACCATGAGTCTAAATAAAAAGTTTGATGAGGAATGGGCATTTATATAATTTCAGAGAACCTCCCCGTGAAACATTTTTTAATTCATTATTTTACAATGAAAAAGTATAACACTCTTTTAATCAAGTGATCAAAGTGATCACCACCTAGAGGGATAAATCTTCATTGTGTGCCACATGACAGGATGCAATGAGAATGTACCATCATTTCATGACTCTTGTACATAATTCAATATAAACCATAAAGAAATCTCAGACAAATGCTTTCAAAAGTATCAAAATCAGGAAATTCAAGGAAAAACTGGAAATGTTCCAGGTTGAAGGAGACTAACAACAACTAAAAGCAATGTGTGATTCTCAGCTGGATCCTTTTGCTACGAAAAAACATTATTAGTACAATTGACTTAAACAAACAAACAAAAATTGGGATGCTAGGTGTGGTGACTGCACACCTATATTCCCAGCAATGCAGGAGGTTGAGGCAGAAGGATCCAAAGTTCAAGGCCAGCCTGGGCAATTCACGAGACCCCATCTCAAAGGAACAAAAAAAAATCAAATAAACCTGCGGTGTAAGGATTACATGGTAGTAACTTAATGTCAATTTCCTGCTTTTGATTGTTACATTCTGGTTATGTAGGAAAAAGTCCTTGTTTGTAGGAATTATTTGGGAGTAAATGAGGCATCACTTTAAGAAATTATTTGCAAACAACTAGAAAAAAAAATTTTTTTGGTACCATGGATTGAACTCAGGGGAACTCAACCACTGAGCCACATCCCCAGACCTTTTTTGTATTTTATTTAGAGACAGGGTCTCACTGAGTTGCTAAGCACCATGGTGTTGCATTTTTTAATTTTAATTTTAATTTTAATTTTTTTAGTTGTAGATGGACACAATATCTTTATTTTATTCATTTATTTCCATGTGGTGTTGAGGATTGAACTCAGCCTCACAAGTGCTAGGGAAGAGCTGTACCACTGAGCTACAACCCCAGCCCCTGAGGCTGGCTTTAAACTCTCCATCCTTCTGTCCCAGCCTCTCCCACCACTGGGATTACAGACATGTGCCACCATGCCTGGCTCAAAAAATTGTTTTTTTAAAAAATATTCTTTATAACCTCTGCAAACTTTTTCTAAGTCTATATAGTCAGCCCCTAGTATTCTCAAGGTCTATATCCATATAGAATCAAAAACATTCTTTTTTAGCCAGGTGCAGTGGCATATGCCTGTAATGGGAGGCTGAGGTAGAAGGATGGCAAAAGTGAGGCGCTAAGCAACTCAGCAAGACCCTGTCTCTAAATAGAATACAAAAATAGGGCTCAGTAGTTGAGTGCTCCTGAGTTCAATCCCTGGTATTAAAAAAAAAAAAAAAAAAAAAAATTCTTTTTTACAAACATGGCATCTAAACTGAGCACAGTAGCGCATGCTTGTAATCCCAGTGACTCAGGAGACTGAGGCAGGAGGATCATAAATTTGAGGCCAGCCTCAGCAACTCAGTAAGACCCTGTTTCAAAATAAAAAGTGAAAAAGGAGGTGGGAGATATAGCTCAGCAGCAGAGCGCTTACCTGGCATATGTGAGACACTGGGTTCTATCCTAAGCACCACATAATAAATAAATCAAATAAATATATTGTGTCCATATTAAAAAAAAATGAAAAAGCCTGGGAATGTTGCTCAGTGATTAAGTGCCCCCGGGTTTAACACCCAGTACATACATACATACATACATACATACATAAATAAATGACATTTGAACCAGGTGAAGTGGTAAATGCCTGTAATCCCAGCTACTTGGCAGGGTGAGGCAGGAAGATTTCAAGTTTGATGTCAGCCTCGGCAACTTAGAACCTGTCTCAATTTAAAAGGGAGTTGAGGATGTAGCTCAATGGTAAAGTGCCCCTAGGTTCAATCCCCAGTACTAAAAAAAAAAAAAGAAAAGGCATTTCTATTGAACATGTACAACCCTTTCTCTAGTCATTATTCCCTACCCAATAAAGTATAACAATTATTTTACATAGTACTTAGATGACTTAAAGTTGCATAGGTTATATGCAAATACTGCGCCATTTTATGAGGATTTTAAGCTTCACTGAATTTTGGTATCCAAGGGGGTCACAGAACCAATCCCCCATGGAAACTTAGAGACAAAATTAACTATTTTAAAACTATAAAAATAAAAATTCTAAAAAATAGCAGCTGGGCCTTTTGGTCCTTGCATATGGGGTAACAAAGTCATCAAAATAGGAGTACTTGGAGTGGACCACCATTTCTTCCACCTTCTGTCTATGATTCCTGCAGAGTTACCACCAGTTAATAGAGACAGAGCATCCATTTCTTAGATGAGTTTACAAAAATGAATATGGCTTCCATTTTGCTCCCCTGCTTACTCATTCTGATGGAAACCAGCTGCCAAGTCATGAACTGTTCCTACTGAAAGGACTGCACAGCAAGGAATCAAGAGGTCATCTCTGGTTGACAGGCAGCACAAAACTGAAGGCTTGGTCCAATAGCCACGAGAATATGAATCCTGCTAACGATCATGAGAAAGGGTAGAAGTGGATCGTTTCCTAGCTTAGCTTTGAGATGACTGTACTCAGGTGACCTTGATTGCACTCTCAGTAAGAAACTGAGCCAGAGACTCAACTAAGTCTTGCCTAGATTCTGAATCCACAGAAGTTGTGAGATAATGTTTGTTGTTTTAAGCCACTGGTTGTAGATGGACACAATACCTTTATTTATTTATTTTGCTGTGGTGCTAAGGATTGAACCCAGTGCCTTACATGTGCTAGGCAAGCGCTCCACCACTGAGCCACAACCTCAGCCCAAAGCCACTTAGTTTTAAAGCAATTTTTCATGTAATAACAGAGGACTAACACACAAAGGAAAATCTAGAAAGAGATAATGGAGTAGGACAGTCTTTAAGAAATTAAACTATAAGGGCTGGGGTTGTGGCTCAGTGGTAGAGCGCTCACTTAGCATGTGCGAGGCCCTAAGTTTGATCCTCAGCAACACTAAAAATAAATAAATAAATAAAATAAAGGTATAGTGTCCAACTACAACTGAAAAATATTTTTAAAAAATTAAACTATAGTCTTGGCTCTGCCATTTGCTAGAAGGCTGTTTTGGGCAAGTCATATAACCTATTGTTATGACTGCTTCCTCCTTCGTAAAATGTATAATAATCGTAATCATAATACTTATTTTCAAAGGCTTAAGATGAAGAGCAAATGTAGTAATTTATAGAAAACACACTATAGAAGTATTAGTTATTATTCTTCCTTTTCTCAGGTGTTTAATTTTTTTTCTGTAAAAAGAAGAGGTCAGATAATCTCAAATATTCCTTTTGATTGATAACATGTTATGATGTTAATTTTCCTATAAAAGTTCTTACCAAGTTAAAATATCAGAGTAAGTGATGTAATGGCCTGAAGGAATAAAAATTTCAGGAACAGGTAGAAAGCACAACTTACATGTACTGAAAAAGGATATAGAAAATGTTTCTACTCTGCTAAAGAAGGCTTCTTTGCTTGTAGATTCCAATGGAGGTTGTTCTGCTTGGGGCGATCCATTAACTGACTGGAATGTGGCAGATGTATCCCTCCTAAAACAAAGTGATAGAATTGTTGGTAATCTTTTCATGGTACCATTCTACTTAAATGTTTCATATCTAGCTTCTCTGCAAATCACCATCAATCATACCAACACTGGATTTTTTTAATATTTATTTTTTTAGTTTTAGGTGGACAAAATATCTTTATTTTATTTTTATGTGGTATTGAGGATAGAACCCAGTGCTTCATGCATATTAGGCAAGTACTCTACCACTCAGCCACAACCCCAGCCCCCCCCCACACTGGATTTTAAGCTTTCCAAAAAAAAAAAAAAAAATCATTTCAGAAATGTCATTCCTCTGCTTACTATTTTTCAAGCCTGCATTTCCAGTGGCTGGGGAGGCTGAAACAAGTTCAAAGTCAGCCTCAGCAACATAGTCTCAAAATAAAAAATAAACAAGGAGAGGAAAGGACATGGACGTAGGAATGATAATGGAATGAATGGGATATTAATATCCTATGTGCATACATGATTACATAACCTATGTAACTCTACATCATGTACAACCAAATAAATGAGAAGTTATACTCCATTTATGTATGATGTGTCAAAATGCATTGTCATGTATAACTAATTAGAACAAATAAATATATACTAAATAAATAAATATGTTTGGGGATGTAGCTCAGTGGTTAAGCACCCCTGGGTTCAATTCCTGGTATCAAAATTTTTTTTCAAATCATTTTATAACACTTACTAAATAGATTCCAAATTCTTTAACTTAGCATCGAAAATTCTTTACAGTTTAGCCATATCTAATTTTCAGTCAATTTCTACCTCTACAGTACTCTGCTAATACCAACAAGCTATTCTCCTAGCTCACTCACTGTTCTCCAACAGTACCTGGCCCAATTTTAGTAATCACAAAATAAGAACTGAAGTCCTCAGGTATTCACCATACAATCTGAAATGCAATGTTATAATAGGAGAAAAAGTAACTCTGATATTGCTATCTGAATACTCTTTTGAGGATGGCTCCATTCCAAAAAGAACCAATTAAACAATTCAAATCAAAGTAAGGATCTTTAAGAGACTTCATGAAAAAATTTTGCAGAGAGGGGGGAAAAAAAAGCCAGGCGATATGTTTATTTTCAATGAAAGCCATTTCAAGGGTGCCTGGGAGTAGAGGTCCGTGTTGGAACTGCTGAGACAAGTATCATTTTAATAAAAATTGGGTTACACTAACAATCACAGCTTCAAAGAAACATTTTTTTTTTCTAATCTTCCTCAAAGATTCCGAGCCCCTCTTGGAAAAAATTCAAAACATCCATGAAGTTGGGAATAAAACGGCACTGAGTTCACTAACCTTTGAGATTCAACATTTTCTTCAATTATGAGGGAAGAACAAAACAACAACAAAAACCCGCAGTATAAGCAGTACTTACAAATCTGTCACCAAAGCAATAACTATTGTCACCAATGAAAACAATTTTCTCACATTATGGTTGTTGGCTATAATTCGAAATACAGTTGATGTTCTTTACTACTTCAGAACCATTTGATAGTAGACATACTTACAGATAACATTTAACTCTAATAAAAAAACGCACGTTATGCATAATATTTTCTTTTACTGTCTTAATAACTACATTCCAACATAACGGGTTTCATTTATAATCCCTTATTTGCTTTAAGCACTTTAAAAACATATCTCCATACTGTCAAACGGCCTACAACACACACACACACACACAAAAAGACTAAGAACCCCAACTAAAAGAAGTTTGTGAGCTTAACTAACGGTTCTTTTTATATTTCCTTCCAAAAACAATTTATGGCAAAATTCCTCCCGTGGTGCGAAATCAGGTACATCCTGAGAAGATCTAAGTCGACCTATCCCAGCCGTCTCAGTTTCCTTCTGGTCCCAATAACTATTCATCCCTACTGACCAAGTCGCCAACCGAGGGGACCCCAATACCATCCGCCCCTGCTCCAGGGCTATCTTCCCCAAGCCATCTCCATTCTCCCAGTGCCTGAGCCAGGTTTGACTCTAGAACTCACGCTTCTGCGCTTCCCTCTTCTGGGGCAATCCCCTCATCTATCAGCTGCCGGACTTTCTGAGGGGTCCCCTCTGGGGAACGGACTACTGTACCCCAGTTTTTTTCAACCCCTGAAGCAAACGCCTGCTCCTCACTGGACGCCGCCATGTTGGTCCGTTGCAAAGTTGCTTCCCCGCGGGTTTGAAGGCTCAGGAACTTCCGTTCTGAGGGGTTAAGATCCGCCTCTTGAAGCAATCTCCCACGCAAGAGTCTAATCGGAGGACCCGCCCCTTCCTGGTGCTTTTAGGAAGAGGATTTAAGGATGATCGCATTATGTAAGACCAAACTTAGGTTGATCGGTTCCTTTATTAATCAGAATATTTAGGTTGGTAAAGAATCTTTAGAGCTTTCAGCGGGGACAAGGGACTCAATGTACCGTATTTCACCGAATAATCATCGCAGATTATATGCCTTTTTTTTTAAGCAAAAAAGCGGGGTACGAGAATTATATGAAGTTGTTTTTTTTTTTTTCTTTTTTTTTTTTAGAAAAAAAATTGTGCTGATATTACTTAAAAATCATTTATTGCGGGCTGGGGTTGTGACTCAGCGGTAGAGCCCTTGCCTAGCATGCACGAGGCCCTGGGTTTGATCCTCAGCACCACATAAAAATAAACAAAGAAAATAAAGATATTGTGTCCAACTACAACTAAAAAATAAAATATAAAAAATAAAATAAATCGTTTATGGGCCAGGCATGGTGGCGCACTCTGTAATCCCAGCGGCTCAAGAGGCTGAGGCAGGTGGATCAAGAGTTCAAAGCTACCATCAGCAACTTAGTGAGGCCCTAAATAATTCAGCGAGACCCTGTCTAAATAAAACACACAAAAAAAGGGCTGGGAATGTGGCTCAGGGTTAAGTTCCCCTGGGTTCAATACCCGGTACAAAAAAAAAAAAAATTTATTACAGGGCTAGAGGTGTAACAGTGGTGGTGTGTTTGCCTAGCATGTGCAAGGAAGGCCCTAGCTTCAGTCTCTTGTACCACAAAAACAAAGTAAAAATAATAAAACATCACTTATTATTAAACTGTCTTTAGAGCAGGATTAGGATGCACAGAATACTTGTGAATATACATTGAACTGAATAGTCCAAATCGATGCGCATCATTTCTTCCTAACAGTTTATTTATTTATTTATGTACCTGCGATTGAACTCAGGGGCACTTTAACACATCCCAGGCCCCATTTTGTATTTTATTTAGAGACAGGGTCTCACTGAGTTGCTTAGCACCTCGCTTTTGCTGAGGCTGCCTTTGAATTCGTGATCCTCCTGCCTCAGCCTCCTGAGCCATTGTGATCATAGGTGTGCGCCACCGCTCCCGGATAGTGAATATTTTTCTGGTTTGGAAAAGAAAAGAAAAAAGTTAACACATTAGTTGTTATTGATTTGTATTATAGTTGAAATATTACAATAGAGAAAACTTACTAGTGTTGCAAAATATGAATTTACAAAACTTAATCTGTCTCTGAAGATTCTGCAGGGCTACAATTTTTCACTGTAATCAGCAAGCAATTTGGGTCATATGTTGGCCAGGCGTGGTGGCGCACTCTGATCCTAGCGGCTCCTTCGCACAGATAGATTGCATCTTCGCAACAGTCTCCTAACCCAGCCTCGACTCGCCTTAAACTGAGTTTTAAGAATGTTGTTTTTGCGGGCTTCCTCTCGTGCCTTCAATTGCAACATTTCGTATAATACACTGAAGCCATGGTTACGCATTTTGTTGACGTATACAAACACTTCATCAATTTGTAGAAACTTGCCTGTGTTAAGGCCTCGAACCTTGCATCTAGAAAGGTTTGTGGTTTTCAGCTAGTCTTTTAGTTTCCGCCAGTCTCCAACCAACTTTTCTCTTTGTTTTTTATTTTTTTTTAAACATCAGTGGACTTTTATTTTATTCATATATTTGTATGTGGTGCGGAGAATCGAACCCAGTGCCTCACACATGCTAGGCAAGTGCTTTTTCACTGAGCCACAACCCCAGCCCTCTAACCAACTTTTCATTCACCGATAACACTCTGCATGCAGCTGTTTCCATGCTGTTCAGCCAACTTAATCACTTTCAGCTTGAAGCCCGCACAATAGTTTTTATATTTACCCGTAACCAGCAAGAAATGCTTTGCACATTGAAATATCGCAAAAGGCAGTGAAGTTTATATCACAGGAAGATGCACCTTGAACCATACATACCCCGTCTGCTGGCAGCTTCCTGGGCGCACTGCCCTTGCACCCACAGCCCTCGGTTGGGTTGAGTGACAGTACCGTCCGTACAGCAGCGCTCTAAACAACCTGCGCTGGTCGGCTCTCTAGGAAATGCACGGACACAGCGCATGCGCTGAGAATTCTAGGCTGAAAGCTGGCAACGCCGGCGAAGGCAAATGGCACATCCCCATAGGCCACTGGTGAAGACCCTGGTGTTCCGTTTACCTTTTAAGCGGCGCGATGAACTGAATTATACCGTGCGACGATAATGCAATAAAAAGTTATCAACCATGCCGGGCGCCGTGGCGCGGGCCTGTAATCCCAGCGGCTCGGGAGGCTAAGACAGGAGAATCGCGAGTTCAAAGGCAGCCTCAGCGAAGGGCGAGGCACTAAGCAACTCAGTGAGACCCGGCCTCTAAACAAAATACAAAAAAGGGCTGGAGATGTGGCTCAGTGATCAAGTGCCCCTGAGTTCAATCCCCGGTACAAAACAAACAAACAAACAAACAAACCAATTTTTGGACTGAAAAACCTGGATGACCACGATTATGAGGTGAAGTATGGTAATCTTAGAAAACACGTTGTGGGCCCGCATGGTGGCACTCACCTGTATAGTCCCAGCAACTCAGGAGGCTGAGGCAGTTGGATTGCAAGTTCAATGCCAGCCTCAGCAATTTAGCAAGGCCCTGAGGCCCTGTCTCAATATAAAAAGTAAAGAGGGTTGGGGATGTGGCTCAGTGGGTAAGCACTCTTGGGTTCAATCCCTGGTACAAAAAAAAAAAGAATAAAAGGAAAGAAAGAAATCATGTTGTGGGTGGATATAGAAATATGTGGCATTTGACGCCATTGCACACTCCCTCCTTTGTCTAATATATTTATTGAACATATCCTGTTGACACTGCACTAAACATGGCAATGACAGTAGTGAATAGAGGTGACGTGGTGCTTAGTGGAGTTAGACATCAAACAAGTATTTTTTCTACAGTTTTTGTTATTGTCGTTGTTTGTTTGTTTTGCAGTGCAGTGCTCAGGATTGTTACCCAGGGATTCACACTAGTTCTCTATTACTGACCTATATTCCTGGACCCCTCCTACCGGGTGTTTTGTTTTTAGTACCAGGCATTGAACCCAGGGGTGCTTAACCACTGAGCCATATCCCCAGCCTTTTTTGGATTTTATTTAGGAACAGGGTCTCTCTGAGTTGCTTAGGGCCTGGATAAGTTGCTGAGGCTGGCTTTGAACTCAAGATCCTCCTGCCTCAGCCTCCCAAGTGGCTGGGATTACAGGCATGCGCCACTGTGCCTGGATCCTTCCTACAGTTTAAAAATTGTGATTATAAATGCTCCAAAGAAGACCCACCTAGGGTATAACAGGAAGACCTAATTTGGTTTGCAGTTTCTTCTGAGAGAATCAAGCTCAGAGCTGAGATAAATGAGATTGCAGAGAAGAAATTAAAACAGAATCTTCCAACACTTTAGTTTGGAAGACTGATGTGACTGAACAATGGTCAAAGAGGAAAGTGGGATTTCCTCTACTCTTCCAGCTCACTTTAATGGGCTCTTGACTCCTGTTTCCCACCCTTCGGGACCTGCAACCTATTGATCTAACTATCTTTCTACTGTTCCTAACTCCAACACCACTCCTGTTTCTTCTCTCCTTAGCCATCTTAAATTCATTATTAAATATTGTCATTGCATCTTTGCAAAATATGAACATCCGCTGAGGATTAGTTCATAGACTATTAAGGAATTACTGTTGATTTTCTTGAACCCGATAATGGTGTTGTGCTTATGTTTTTGTTTTTGTATGCTTGTGATACTGGGGATTGAACCCAGGGGCACTTAACCACTGAGCCACATGCCCAGCCCTGTTTTGTATTTTATTTAGAGATAGGGTTTCACTGAGTTGCTTAGGGCCTCACTAAGTTGCTGATGTTGATTTTGAATTCACAGTCCTCCTGCCTCTGCCTCCCAAGCCACTGGGATTATAAGCATGTGCCACTGCACCTGGCTTGACACATGTCTTGCTGAGTGGTTATGGTTTTTAAAAGTCTTTTTAATCATAAAGTATTTATGGGTGAACTGGTGTGATGTGTGGGATTTGCTTTGAAATTCACCAAAAGAAAGAAAGAAAACAGGAAAGAATAGATGAGAAAAGTTTGCAAAATGTTTTCAACAGTTGGATTTGTGTGATAAGAGTTATGGGGTTCATCATATTATTCTTTCTTCTATATAATATGTTTGACAGTATTGTAATAAAAATCAAAATAAAATAAATCAGGTTAAAATTACATTCTCTTGAATTCCCTTTCAATTTCCCTGAAGCTCTCTTGGTTTTGTTATTATTTCTTTGTTAAATTCGCACTGGTGATTGAACCCGGGAGTATTGAGCATGCTCTAGGGAAGCATTCTACTCTATGCCTTTTTTTTTTCTTTTACTTTTCTTTTTTGGTACTGTTACTGGGGATTAAACCCAGAGGTGCTTTATCACTGAGGTCCATCTTCAATTCTTTGTATTTTGGAGTTTTCCTAAATTGCTGAGGCTGACCTGGAACTTGTGATCCTCCTGCCTCAGCCACCTGAGTCACAGGATTGCAGGTGTGCATCTCTGCGCCAGATTATCATTCCTGTTTATAGCCCCAGCACTTTTTCCCAGCCTGAAAATTTAGTAGGCCCTCAGGCTGCGTGTGTGTGTGTGTGTGTGTGTGTTTTGCTTTGTCTTTTTTCTTTTTTGGAACTGGGAGTCAAACCCAGGGCTTTGCAAATGTGAGGCATAAGCTTTGCCACTGAGTTACATTTCAGCCCTGTGTGTGTGTTTTAATTATTACAATTATCTCCAACCACTAACCATGGTAGGAAGATTCCGTGGTAGGAAGAAGTCTAGAAAATAGGTGTACAGCCCATTCTACTACAGTTTTTGGGAGTTACAGGGTGCTAGATTCCATCTTC